CACGAGTATGCATGCCAAATTTCAGCTCTCTAGCTCTTATATCTTCTGAGATTCTTTTGCTCATACGGACGGACGGACGGACGGACGGACGGACGGACGGACAGACGGACAGGGCTATATCGACTCAGCTCGTCGTCCTGATCAAGAATATATATACTTTATGGGGTCTGCGATGATTCCTTCTGCCTGTTACATACTTTTCACAAAACCATTATACCCTGATTTCCCATTTTCAATGGGTTCAGGGTATAAAAACAAAAAAAAAAGAAGAAAAGGAAAAACAATTGCATTTCACTCGCAACAGCTTGAAAATCGCTTGCAACATGAGAGAATCAATGTGAAGCGCAGTGGAGTGGAGTGGAGTGGAACGTCTCCTCCTTGCCGCCCTTCAACCACAACCATGCCATCCACATGCCCCACTCTCTGTGCATGTCTTTGTGTGCGACAATGGCGTGTGTCAAATGCCATACAACATGATATCTATCAAATTGCTGGGATTTTAGCTGATGCTGTTTTCCAACAGCAACAGCAAAAGCAACGACAAGAGAAACAGCAACGACAACGACAACGACAACAACAACAACAACAGCAACAGAAAACAAAAGCTGCTGCGCTTGGCAATCATTATAATTGTCGCTGTCATCAATCGTTGAATGATTATCCACGCCTCCGGCTGATCCTCGTGGTTGGGACATTGATGCCGCTTGCTCCCGCCATGCGCTGGCCGATCCGTTGCGAGGTGTCTGCCGCAATCCCAAACACGCACATCAATGACTGCGATGCTGCCGCACAAACCAATTGTGGCACTGCCAGCAGCTGACACGTGCAGCACAATCAATGATATATACGGCAGGAATGAGGCTTACGAGCAGCTATACAAATGATACTTGTAGAGTACTTTTTGTGCTGATCAGGATGAAAGGGTTTCAGCTGCTCAAGCCGGGACACTTTCTATCAAAGCTATACTGGATATAGGTATTTGCAGGTATCAAATTCAAGTCAAGCATGTCCACAAAACACCTTCCGTTAACTGAACTAGTCACATATCTCAAAGATACTCTTCATCGAAAGAGAGTGAGAACACAGAGAGATGGACAGAGAGAGAGGGACAGTGACCTTGAGGGTCAGTCAGGGGGAGGAAAAGGGACAGATTGGAAGGGATCGTGAGGGGAAGGGTGAGGAACGGGATGGTCGTGGGAGAGGAGAGGCGAAAGAAGCGGATGGATAGTGATGGAACCGAGTGGTGAAGAGAGTGGGGGAGAGAGACTAGTTTAATAATTTCTTTATTAGTGGTGGGGGTAAATGACATAAAAAATCGAAATTCTATAAAATGCATATGACTCTACATATAAAGTTTGGAAGCTCTAGCTCTAAATGTATAGGAAATATAATAAGGATTTGTTTCGATAATAAAATATCGGGAGAAGTTATCGATATTTTGAGAAAAACTCGATATGCGCGTGATATACAGGTATCTCGCTCTTATATCTTCTGAGAATAAGAATTTGTTTCGATAATAAAATATCGGGAGAAGTTCTCGATTTTTAAAGAAAAACTCGATATGCGCGTGATATACAGGTACCTCGCTCTTATATCTTCTGAGATCGACGCGTTCATACATACGGACGGTCGGACAGGGCCAAACCGACTCAGCTCGTTGCCCTGATCAAGAGAATATCTACTTTGTGTGGTCTGCCACACCTCCTTCCGCCTGTTACATATCTTTAAAAAAAAACATTATACTCTGATTTCTTATTGAAAATGGGCTCAGGGTATAAATATACAAAATTTCGTATTAAATTCGTTATTTAAGATTAGATTAGAGTAAATAGAAATGTTACTCTAAATCGACTCGGCTGGATACATCCATCATACTTGATTTGCATCTCCAATTTTTCATTTAAGTAAACATTGTTTTTTTTTTTCGATTTTTTTCTATGCACGAGCTCCTAACTCATAAAGCTGTAAAAGCTTTATGTATACTTCATGTTTCTCTAAAAACAGCCGAACAGCTTCCGCTTCCCTCTTAACAGCTATATTTCGCGAATGTTTGTTGTTGGTAATAAAAATATTTGAAATCAAATTCGAAAAAAATTGCGAGCATATTAACAAATGCATTATATTTGCTTACACAGATATTGGAGCAGCGCACAACAATGGAGCCAAAATATGCGCATATGTGTGTGTCTGCGTGCCTGTGTATATGCTTGTATGTTTTGGCCATAAATCAACATTCTATCGCATTGTATTAAAAACTTAGCATTGGGCACATTTTGCACCCATTTCAATGCCAATCGTTTGACTGCCAGCCTCCCAGATAAAGTTGAAATTATATGAGTATTTTATGGCCAGAGCCCCAGAAGTCAGTCAGTTGTGAATTGAAACGTTGCACGCACCAGGAGAGTGAGAGACCGTGAGCCTGCCGCCACTTCACTAGCCAAAGCAGAGGCAGAGGCAGAGGCAGAGGCACAGGTTGGCCCTTGATGCTCAAGGACTGAATGTCGATGAATACGATATGATACGTTTGATGCGTGCGTGTGTGGGTGGGTGGAGGGGGCGATGTTTGTCGATGTATCTTTCTATGTGTGTGTGTGTGTGTGTGTGGGTTGTTGGTGTGCATGTGAGAGAGTGTAAATATGTTTCTTATATAGCAAATGCAAGACTATTACATTCGGGCAAGAGGAGGAGCATTTCAAACAGTTGAATATATGGCTTACGGAATTTATTATATTTAAGCTTTTGTTGGAGCATTAAGGGACATTTTAGTCTAATATAATAGGCAATTCAAATTAGCAATCTAGACAAAAGACAAACATATGCTGGCTAGGAGCATAGAACTGAAACTGCTCTGTAGCTTGGGCTAGATCTAGACATAGCAGGATATGGGATAGAATAGTAGAGACATTATATATGCACAGTGAACGATATACCTGATATAAAGATATTATAGAGACCAATCATAAATATATTTATATATCTATAGAGCATATACCAATCCAGCCTTTGATCATTCTCAAACTAGTGCAGCTTAACGTACATTGGTCAGGTTTTTTCACACTTACATATATCATCTATCTCAGATTGAAGAGCAGCCAAGGACCGACGTATATCAGACTGAACCACTTGATAGTAGTGAATTGTTTCCGGTTCGCTGTTTTTGGTTTATTCCAGTTTTGGTTTTTGGCTATTTTTTTCTCTCTCTTTCTCTTCCTTTTTTTTTTTTTTTTTGCCACTCCCTTGAGTTTTTCATGTTGATTGCGTTTGAATTTCCGCTGGCTGTTCCGATATAGCTGTGCCTGCCATTCATCGATGTTTTTCTTTTTCATTTTTTTTTTTTTTATTCTCGATTTTTTTTCTTTTTTGCGAAATTCAATGAATTTGAGGAATACACAAATCTGAAGAGCGCGCAGCCACGCTGCGTCTTTGACACAGTCACACGGGCACAAATAGACAAACAAGGTGGAGCGTGTGGGGGCGAAGGCGTGGCTGTTGCATGCTCGATGATACACAGCATGCGGTATATATGCTGTATATACATATATGGTGTATATGTATATGGTATATGGTGTGTGGCTCTTGATGTATGGTGTATATGGGCTAGCCGTGCTGCTACAAACATGTTTGCATTTCAAATTCGGCCGTCAGTTCCTTTCAGAGCGACCGTAGGCAGCATGCGAAATTGGAGGCCACATACGAATACGAATACGAATGCGAAAAAGGCCCGAAATAAACGCAATCACAAAGAAAGCAGATGGTGGGGAGAGACGGGCTGGCTAAATGTCTGGCTGACTCTCTGACTGGCTTCCATCGTGTTTGCTCCTGTAAATTGAGCACCCCGCTCAGTGGGCGGCTGACGTGAGTTTATTAACGTTTGGCTTGGGCGCCAGCCAACATTTTCGACTCAATGACAGCAAACATTTACATTTTGCATGTTGTCAGCGCTCGATTCACTAACGCCCCCATTTTGGCCAACCCATTCTGAGAAGTCTTTCCACTCTGCCCACGCCATCACCCACCCTCTAACGCTCTCTCACTCTCTATGTGTTTCTCTGCCCTGACCCCTTTTCACTTTTGAATGCAGAGCCTTTGTACCTGAGGATTTACTTAGCATCAAAGTTCCTTGTTACTTTTGCACCTTTCTTGCTGCTGTTGCTGCTGCTGCTGTTGCTGCTGCTGGGCTGTCAATTGATAAGACCCACTGTATATTTGTATTTCAAAGCCAGCCAATATTTATTCAGGTCTAGTCAAGCGGCAACTTTATGTGAACAAAAAAATAAAGTTTTTCGTTTTTCACAATCCAATTGACTCTTGACTTCGAAGACTAAATGAAAATTGTCTTGTGCATTTTCATTATTAAGTGGGGCAGAAAAAATTAAACTAGAAATACAAATTAAAACAATAAAATAAAAACTTAATTGAGTTTAATATTGCGTAAAATTAATTTTAAAAAGTCGAATTTATTATGATCTTTCTCGGTCTAAAAGTCTTTCACTTAAAATACTATTATAGTTTATATAACAGTCATTCTGCAGCTCAATAGTCAAGACACGTGCCGTTTTCGATCTCAGCCAAGTAGCAAAGCTTAAGCCTATGCACAAACCACAGCCAAGACATGAGCTCAGTTTGATCTAGCTGCAGAAATAAAGGGCGTCACAGCTTAAGCCTGTTCACGAACCACAGCTAAGACACGAGCCCACTGATCAGTGCGAAGCCAAGACAGTGGATTCCACGCAGAGCATGTCAAACTGTTGCTCGCCCTTGTAATCCTCAACGGAGTTATCAAAAATAATATTCAAACTTTTGATATGCTACTCCTCCTCTTATAAAGCTTTCCCCTATAGCTGTGCTCTCCACAGCTGTAACAACCCAGAGACTGTCAAACTTGTTATTAAATCAGAATATTCTTACTGGAAACAAAAATGCTAACTAAAAAACTTTCACACAAATACATACATGTATCTACATATATACCTATAGCTATATTTAAAATGCATTTGTGATTACTCAGATGTTGATTGTAATTAAGCCCCATTTAAGAGCCTATGGAGCACTGTTTAGACTCATAATTTAAAACGCGGCAATAAAAACAATAACACGCACAAGTAAATAAAACTCGGCAGCTGTTTATCGACTTGGGAATCTTTTGTCATCGATTGAAGTGTGTTTAAATGGAGTAGGAGCCACGTCTGCTGCACTGAGCGATGGGTATGCAGGTGCCAGCGGAGTCGCGGGCAAAGCCTGTGTTGCAGTAGCAGCCGTCGGGGCAACGAATATGCCTGATCAGGCAGGGCTGGTTCAGCGTAGCACACTCCGTCTGGCAGCTGGGACCGCAGGGCAGAAATGTCTCATTGGCCGGACATGCGCGAGGCGCTGCAAAGGATTAGCAAGCAGCTTGCATTAGCATTAGGCCAAGCGATGCGCCACTCCAACACTTACTGATGGGCACCTGGGCAGCTACCAAGGCCAAAAGGCAGACACCAAGCAGCAGGCACTGAGCACTGAGCACTTTACACGCAGACATCTTTCGCTTCTCTTCTTTCCTGATTTCTTGAAATGTTTCCAGTCGCAGAGCTCGTTGGCAACTGAACTGATTTGCATGAGTCGAGCGTGCTTTAATCAAGATGTTTAACCAAGATAGTATTGAGTTGCTCGCTGGGGAAGCACCTGACTAGACTATGACTCATTTAATCATCTTTAATGTGCTGAGCCCACAAAGTATGCTACAAAGCTTGAGAAATAGACATGAAATTGAAATATGTGTAAATATAAAACATTTAAATATATATAAATATAATACACATAAATATATAGATATATATGTATATGTCTGTAAAAAAAATTTTATTTTACTTTTAGCTTTGCATTTAGTGGAATAAGGAAATGATCCAAGATGAGATATATATTTATATACATATGTATATCAAATATGTTTAATATATATAGAAGAGGATAACTTTTACAATATTTGCTAAATATGCTCTATATATCCTATCAGGACTCTTTTAGGTCAGTCTTGGTCAGTCTGCTCTTCCTTAGCTTGGTAGTCAGATGTAAGGCTAGATTTAAGATCTTAGGATCATAGCTGCATAACATCGCCTACTTTAGGAACCTTTAGATACTTTTCGATAGCTCTGGTTCTGATATACTTTATTGTTCCATCAAACAAATTCCCCTTAAGATGTTTGACTAATTTTATTTACATATAAATTTTAAGTTTATAAACTGCTTAAATTGTATATATAACATTATATGGAGGGTTAATTAAAATTTTTCATATAAACAGATTATTATTTGATATACTATCGAACTGCCTGATTATATATAAAACCTCATTTACTTTTATTAATTTTATAAGTGAATTTTCATTTTTACTATTATATATAATATTCATTTGATTAATATCATTTTTATAATAAATAAAATATTTTTATTGATTTATTCAAATGTTTTCAGCTCAATTTATTGCAACTTCTAGTCTTAGGCTCTACGGCGGATCTTTGCTCCAAGCCTTAACTAGTGTGTGAGCCGGTAAGTCAGCATAAGCATCTTAAATTATCACCTGTTCGTTGCTCAATTCTATTCTTACTGCTTAAAAATAGTTTGCTTAGGCTCTCAGCAGTTTCATTGTTATTTTCTAGAACATTGTCTGTCCACCTGCCTGAAGAGCTGACATCATCAATAGTAGAAGGAACTGACACTCAGCTAGATATCATCTGTAGGCAATATTATAACTATAGCTTTAAGTAATTCCCCTTTTTGACATTCCATAGGAACATAGATCATAAGAACTTTCATATATATTTCCTTCTTCTGCAATTCCATATCACTGGAAATCGAATATTGAGTCTTATCGATCGTCGTTTTTCTCTAGCCATCTGGCTACACTGAGTGCTGCCAGATCAGCGCCAAATCGCACGCGTCTGGCAGCGTCAGCTGAGCGACTCGAACAGGTAAACGGGTCGCAATACTTGTTACAGCTCTGTACCTGTTTTTCGTTTCGTTTTGTGGCGCTCTCTCGCTCTGTTCGCGAGTCGCCGTCTCCTTCTTCGCGTTCGCCTTAGTTGAGTTTTGCATGCGGCGCGTTCAACAACGAGGCAAAAAGCGTAACGCGATTCGGTTCTTTTTTTTTTCATTAATTTTTGTTGTTGTTTATTTATTTACTACATTTTTTTTTTTTTAATTTGTGTTCGGGCATCTCGGCAACAACAACAACAACAACAACGGGATATAAAGTGAATATTTATTTGATTGTGCCGTGCTCTGTGTGCCAAAGCGTGAGTTTCCCTTGCCAAGCCAAATCTCTGGCATGGCCGATGTAAACGGTCGATAGTGCTAAAGAAGCGATCAACGGACCTTTGCGGCCTTTGAACTCTGACAGTTTTTGACATATGTTCAGAGCTTTGGTCGCCCACTCTTTGCGATTCTGCTTCTTCTACTTCTTTGGCTCGCTGCTCATTCACACACTCTCTTGCTCTTTCTCGCCATCTGTCTCTCGCTCACTCGCTCATTCTGTGTCGCTAGCTAAGTCCTTCTCTGTCACTCAGTGGAGTGCTAACCAGGCCATGCATTTTTCTGTTTTCGCAACAAGACGTCAATGGCCAAAGGCGCTGCCAACATCGTCGTCGCCGTCGTCGTCGTCGCCGTCGTCATTTTTCGAAACGTTCTCGCTTTGTTGCATTCCAAAGTAAATGCTACTAATAACAAAAAGGCAACAACAACAGCAACAACAACTACATAGTGGTAGTAGTTGTAGTAAAGAGAAAAAGGAAGGCAATCCAAAGCGGCGGCCGCTTCCAATAAAATGAGGAAAAAATAAAAAAGTTGCCTGACTTGTTTCAGCCACGATTGTGAGAGTGTGTGCGAGTGTGTGTGTGTGTGTAAAGAGAGTGAAATACCACATGTGTATGTGTGTGCGCGCGCGTGTGTGTGTGCATTGGTTTAAGGCGGTTGGCTCTGGGCATGCCCAAATGCCTTTGTGGCCAGCTCAAAGGCTAAAACCAAATTCGACATCGACAGAAACTTAAGCAACTTAAATGCCAATAAAGATCAACAATAAACTATTTAAATATTTGGCCAATAACAATTTAAAAAGTCAACAACAATTTGAGGCAATTATTTATTATTATGCAAAAACTTTGAAAAGCCAATCGAATATTTGAAATTAGTGAAATTAATGCGGCCATTAGAGCGCCTCTTTCTCTCTCTCTCTCTCTCTCTCTCTCTCTCTCTTTCTTTCTGTGCCCGCGTATGTGTGTGTGTATATACAACAAGTTCGTTGCCTAAGTCATTTGTATGATAATAAGCCAAGCAGCAACGACTGCAGTTAATCAAACCAAATCCCCACGCAGCTGGACGTACAGCAGACAAAGAGAACAACAAATGGATGCGAGGCATTAAAAAGTCATCAGCTGTGATTTGGACACAGAATCGAATATATATATATTCATATATATTTATATACATATATGTAGCTAAAGTAAATTGCATGCTCTGCCTTACACTGCTCAGTTTTATATACGTAGATATACATCTATATATTATAATAAGCAACTGTAAAATCTCACGTCAAGTCTCGGGCTGATCGCAACCCAGAAACCTAAACAAATTAAATACCAATACATAAATATATATATGTGCATACACACACACACACACACACACACACACACACACACTGCACACATACCTTAGACAGCAATTTACGACGAGGCGTCAGCGACTCCAGTTCGGGACGCTGTCGCCACATTCCACGGCAAGTGGAGGCCATAAATTGTCAGTGAAAATTTGTAGCCCGAAAATGCTTAAACATGAAATTTATTAGACAAAGCCAGGAAAATTAAAAAAGCAAAGAACCAAAAACGAAAAGAACCAAAATTAATATGCGCCGAGTCGACGCGGCGCATAAATCAATTGGGAGAAAACCCAAACGCACAGCATCAATAAAACTAAATAGATACAAACATATATATGTTAATATATGTATATAGGCATGGCCTGGCTTTTCAAGTGATTTGCATAGATTAAGGGCACTGGGAGCTGGGCATCGGGAATCGGGAATTGAAAATTGAAAATCTCGCCCGGTTAGTGGCCGATGCGGTGGGTCATTGCCATGGCCCGGCATATGAGAACGGTTAACGCTGATAACGGGTCTTGCGCGTTGGCCCGCTGGCCCGCCAGCCCCCTCGGTGGGGCAGGCCACTTTCTAGCGCTCCTTTTGGCTGAGCTGGTCGCTGCTCGCTGCTCGCTGCTCGCGCTTTAGTCTAATGATGTCAATTACATCGTGCCACTCGCATTGTGGGCAACAACAAATGCATGCCAGCTTATATGGCAGCAACAATGTGGCCAACAGCAGCAGCAGCAGCAGCACCAGCAGCCGCAACAACTAGCAACAAGTGTCTCGGAGTCGGCCTCGGTGGCCACAACTACAGCGACGTTTGGCTTCATTAAAATTGCTTTTCATTTTGGTCCACGTCTCTCACACAGATACGTTTTGGGTTTTCTTGCACGGTTTGTTGGCTCCGCAGCCACCAACAGCAAAATGGCCAAAAAATTTTAATGAGATTTAATGAAATTGTACGAGCGAGCGTGTGGCCGGCCATAGACAAGTTGCCAAGTAAAGGCCGCAGTGACCAATCGCAGCAATAACCGCAAGCAAAGATTTCATTTCATTTCAGCTCAGTTCATTTTAGTTCGGTTCGGTTCGGTTTGGCTCGCTACAGACACAAACAAAAGACTTAGGCAACGAACTTGAACAAATCCATTGCTCTTTCATGCACAGAACGAGCACAGCGCGAACCGAGCTACAATTTCAATTGCCTTGGGGCAACACACACACATCCACACATACACATACACATACACATCCACACACATACTTGATGCTCAACAAATTGATTGCTTTGTTAAAGTTTGTTCGTTTCTGCCTCTTCAAGTGCTTATCAAATAGTGCGCTTTGAAAAATATCACCAAATACTTAAGCACTTAAACATAAGTAGCCGCACATAAATAATTTGTCGCCCCTCAGCGCGGCTCCCGCGCTGCTGCTGCTGCTGCTGCTGCCACGGTGCATCCGCAGTGCGCTTCATGTTAATCAACTTGAAATTTATGGCTCAATTTTTTGGCTGTGCTTAAGCAAATTTTTTGTGGCTTGCAGAAGAAATTGTTGCGAAAAAAAAAAAAAAAAAAAATGGGCAACAAGAGGAAGAACGTAACAAAATCGCTTCACGTCACGCCCACGTTTCAGACTTAATGAGCCTGGGCTGGGCGGCAAAGGACAGCGCTCGAGAAGCTGGAGCAGGGGCAGGGGCAGGGGCATCCTTTTCACTTCGACTGTTTACGCCCAATTTGTCACACATTTCAACAGGTTGCGCGCAGGCATCATCAAAAAGCGAACGGCGATGACGACGATGACGATGACGAAGACGATCAACGAGCCTCCTGCAAGCGGGGACTTGGCTCCAGCTTGCGATGGGGCTGCCCATGCTGGGGATGGGGCTGTCTCTCTGTCCAGCCTGGGTCGGGGTAGGCGTTGTCTTGCGGAATTTTCGGGCATGCCTCACGGGCGTCTGAAGCGTGAGGAATTTCTTTTTCGTCG